CATTTTTTAGTTGATACCCTATGACGTTTACATAGACATGGAAAATTTATGGCCCATAGAAATAGATGGTTCACCGTTCTTAAAAATGGTGGATCTTTCCATGGCTATGTTAAATAACCAGATGGTAAATTTTCCGAACGTTTAATGAGTATAAACCATCAAAGTATGGGTGGTTACTACCGCTTTACTAACATTACATATATACAACGGTTTTATATGGTTCAACCGTTTGATAAGGATAATACTGAAGTAATAATCATAGAATAGCATTGGGATATTAAAGGATTTACCCTCCGGTAATCAAAAGTAACAATGAACAATCATCGAACATTACCTATAAATGGAGGTGTTATTGAATTATTGGGAAGATCATGTATAAGAAGTAAGTAGGGGCTTTTCTATTGCCATGTTTGATTACCTGAGGGAAGCAACCCCCAACAGATAGTGACACAGATGATTGTTCTATTTGTTTGCGCATGTTTGACGCTACTACGAGTCGATATGTCTATAAAGCAGCCAAAAAACTGTCGTCATTAGTAAATGGGGTTCATCATCAAACATGATGGTTTCCGTGGCTTTATAACATGTGCCATGCTATACCCAGATCTACAAGGTGGTGCCCCTCAGTTATAAGTTGGTTTATAATCCCCATTAACTATATTATAGATATAACCCCCTAGTCAACCCTAGTTATTGGAGTTATGTTCACCAACTTAGCTATCTTGGGGGCACCACCTTGTAAGATATGAAGCGGAACATATTTTCAATCGGTCTCAGGGACGCAACACATAAAATCAAATCCGACCGGTTCATAGCCAATGACAGCCATTAAATTAAGCACTATTAACATGTTAACCCACTACTGCGAACCTCAACTACACCCCCAAGTATAGTCAACATATTGGATATAAACAAAGTAACATAAGAACATGTTCACATATGGTGGTGGTGCTATGTATTTTAACATATCAATCCACTATTATTCCAGTTAAAATTGGGTAATGATATTGATTATTAGCTTATGAGCCTACTATTATTAACATACCAATCTTCCTATCCAGTCCAACATCGTAATTAAGACCCTTCAGACTTCAGAGCCCATATACTTTAGAAGGAATTTACACCTTTTCGAGACTTTTTCTGGTGGTTAATATTGGGAGGATGGGATTGTTAGATGATTAAGATTAGTAGCTTACCATTTTTTAACATATCGAAGATACATGTTTTACCCAGTCCACCATCAGAATTAACACCCCTCAGAAGCCATATGATTTGGGTGGGATTTACATCCCCAAATGGTAGGTTTATGGCACCGTGTTTCCCGCAGTTATTAAATATTTCATAAGATTCTTAAGATCCAGTTAGTATTGGTTAATGATATTGATTATTAGCATATTTCCGTATTGACCAATATCATTTGTATTCAGTCCAACATCATAGTTGGGTATTGGAGAAGATCCAGTTAATAGTGGATAAAGATATTATAAATCATACATATATTAACATATTGACCCATAATATTCATGTTCATTCCAACATCATCATAGACTACCCGATTATTTTGAATCATAAGAATGGTGAATTTGGGGACGCTTTTGTAATATTGTGTTTACTTCATTCACGCGGTTCACACGTTAATCCTTTATTAACGATTGCACTGTTACTGATTTTAACTATTCGATATTGGATATTGGATGATTATTAACTATTATAAACTATTATTTATTGGGATTAGAACTATTCTTAACTATTGGGTAGTAATATTAATTATCAAGAACATGACCCAAAAACTATGAAATTGATATAAATTGATAGTAGTTCAACAAATATAATTATATCATCAACTAATATCAACTATATCATCTCCAAAATCAGGATATTAATTATCTAGATATATCCTTCCATTCGGATTCACAAATATTAAATAATTGTCCTGGATAGTTATTTTGTTAACTATTACACATATTCACTATTTGGACAATGGTTAATATATTTAAACATATTTAATCATATTAGTGATAATTACTCCCTATGGATCCAAACACTGTCTCAGAAGGTACTTAACCCCCTAAATCATACCCCAAACACTTCCTAGGAAGGTACTTGGATCCATAGGGAATCATATTTAATCATATTAGTGATAATTACGAATATGTCAATGGATTGGTTTAAGGGAAAATTTACAGGAAACCATGGTTTTTACCATGAAATGTGGTGTTTTCCTGTTAAAATTTTCCCCTAAACCAATCCATTGAATATTGCACGCAAAGTGACCTTGGCATGTGTGTTGCTGTGCTTTTTTGATCCTTGGCAAAGCATTCGTCCGCTGTGGTGGCCTGGTCGCAGCGATCCGATGTTTTCCGGAGCCAAGAATGGTGAGCCCGGTGCCAGTTCTTAAGAGAAGGACCATTGGGAAACCATAGGAAAACCATAGGAAAATGGTGATTTAATGGGATATTAATGGGATTTACCCTCTGGTAATTTAACATAGCTATGGAAAGATCCACCATTTTATAGCTGGGAAAATCCACTATTTCTACGGCCATTTTCAATAGCTACGTTAAATTACCAGAGGGTAAACTAACATAGCTATGGAAAATGACCCATAGAAATAGATGGTTTACCTGTTAAAAATGGTGTTTTTCAATAGCTATGTTAGTTTACAGGAGGGTATTGTTGAAACCTTCATGCCAAATGGTAGGTTTATCCCCCAAAAACTCCGCGGCCACTTCCAGGCGGTGCTGTGGGTGCCCGAGGGCGACGATGTCGTCGCGGCCGACGCGGATGCGACGGTTGCGGGGACAGCGCCGGACGCGCAGAAGAGGTGCCCGTTTCAAGAAGATGAGCCAAACCCATGGGGAAATGTGGGAAAATGGTTCCTATTTTTGAAATTAATGAGATTGAATTATCCAAGTAAAATGGAATACCCTTCTACATCTCCGACCTTCATGCTGTATGATTGCTGGAACTTTAGATAGTAGTACCTAAAAAAGATTGAACCACAGGTTATTCACCATTGTTTCTTGTCCCGGATGCTGCACTGGGAATCTGAGGACCCTAGGCCCTACAATCAGTGGTACCTCTAATCTGAATCGAATTGGCTCATTTCATATGGTTGTCATCAAAATTCAACTGAGCGTACCCCCTGTTAGTTTGTGCCACGGCTATGGAAAATTACCATTGCTGATAGGTAAATCACCCAAAAATAGTCCATAGCTTCCAGTTCGCACATTTTTCAAAGCACCTGAAGGCTATTCAAAGAATCACCGGTTTGTCCATTTGCATCCCATTAGATCCATTTGAACTCCCATGATATCAATATCCCATTATATCACTTGCCATTTCAGGAAACTAATTTTGAGGTACCTACCACTTTTCAGGTCTATGTAAGGACGATGTAAGGGAATATACCCCCAAGATATGGTTTTATATGGTACGGTACCTCCACTTTAGGGTCCTGAAACTAACCATTGAATAATTTATTGTCTTATAACCCCATGTAATCCCATTTAAAAAAAAAAAAACATGGTTAAACTAATCCATTAAATCCCCAGGTTAGGAACCTGAAATGGCCGTTGATATCATTGATCGGGGCAAACTATAACGAGCTCACGCCGACCTCACCATAGATGATGGTTAGTATCTCCCATTTTTTGGGCCTTATTTATCCTTGTATATTAGGTTTGTGAAGTATTGTAATTTGACCAGCTTGATAAACCATATGAATTGTGAAGATTGATGGTTCATGGTGCGATGTTTAGTGATTAATAATGGAGATCGAATGGAAACACAATGGATGTTTAATCTATTGATTTGTTCATCGGATTGTGTTTCCATTAGATATCCATTGTGTTTCCATTACAATCATTATAATCATTAGATAATTGCGATTATCTAATGAAAATCAAGGTTCATCCATTTGGGTATGTCTGAAAATGGGGTATACCCCCAATTATAGCCATTTAGTAGGGATAATGATCATTAACCATTGGGTGTAGGGGTACACTATTTTCAGACAAACCCATTTTATTTTTAGATTTTCATCAGATTTTTCATTAAAAAAAAAAGCATGCACCAGGTCGCTACGTGACGAGGCCGAAGATGTCGCCGTGCGGCTCGGCGACTAGGGGGTGAAACATCATCTAAAAAAGATGGGGGGGTTAGATGTATCATATATATATATATACCCTCTGGTTATTTAACATAGCCATGGTATAGATGGCCCATAGAAATAGATGGTTTACCTATTAAGAATGGTGATTTTCCATGGCTATGTTAGTCATAACCAGAGGGTGTATATAATATTTATATATAATTATTAATTTATTTGAATTGAATTAGTGAATCTATCTATATAAGGAGCACAATTCATGGGTTTCATTGGTCTCAACCGGTGAAACACAGCAACATATCATTGTTTTTTCACCATATGGGGAGACCAAGTGATGAAGCGTAGGCTTCTCTAACAAAACATGGTGATCAGATACATCTGATGCAATTTAGCCTTTGGTAAACTAACATAACTATTGAAAATGGCCATTTAGTTCGTTGATTTACCCATAAAATATGGTGAAAAAAAAAAATATGGTGATTTTCCATAGTTATGTTAGTTTACCAGAGGGGTAGCTATTATTTTTTGAGGTTGACGGTTTATTCGCCAAAATGGGATTTCCCTGGACACTAGCGAATGGATTTTCATTTGTTTTGGGTCTGAATTTCTGGCGAAAGACTTTCACGAAAACGGCTGTACATAAAACACTGGGACCCTTAGAACATATCATCACTGGTGGTTTGGAACATGAATTTTATTTTTCCATATACTGGGAATAATCATCCCAACTGAATTTCATATTTTTCAGAGGGGTAGGTCAACCACCAATCAGATCAGATACTCCACTCAAAGGCCATTTGTTGGGTGTTCTTTTGTGTGACCCAAATGGCCGATTGGATCGACAAAAGATGTGACCCTCTTTAAGGGCGGGATCAGACTTGTCACTGAGGCCTGTCGCAACTGAAAGCAAGGCCGAGAGTTCTTGGAGCGAAAACGGTCAAAATGCCAGGAGAATAAGGATTTACCCTCTTGTTATTTAACATAGCCATGGTATAGAAAGCCCATTGATTGGGAAATGGCCCAGTTCGAAATAGATGGTTTACCATCAACCACTGGGATTTGAAAAATCATATCTCTAGTTGATACACGGTTAGTAGTTGGCCCCCAGTGATGTTTGTTGCTTTAGAGTTAACTATAGTTTGATCATGTTTGATATATATATATATATCTAGCATAAACCCAAGTGAAATTGGAGTTATGTTCACCAACTCAGCTATTTGGGCCTGTTTTTTGTGACTTTTTTCATCCCATGAGAAGCCCATGAAAGTTCCGTCGGTGGCCCTTATCCTTGATCAGGATGCAGACAGCAAGGCGGACAAAGCGGGAAAAGAAGGCGGTTCACCATGGGGATTCCACCCCACATTTAGCCAACAAAGATGTAGCCGGCCTGGTTATGACGTTCACAGTTTGCCATGGTTTGTTGATGGCCCAGTTCGAAATTCATGGTTTACCGAACTTAATAGCATGGTGGATCTTTCCATGGCAAACTGTTAGTCATAACCAGAGGGTAAAGATCATGGAGACATTGGAATATCATGGGAATATCGTGGGGATAGGGAGGGACCAAGTTTCAAAATATGGATCGATTTGGGAAAATTTACCATGTGGATCCTGTAGGAAGCGGTGCATCCGCATGGCGTGAAGTCATGTTAATTCGCCACGCAGGGATCCAATAGGGATTGAATATTCCCGTGTGCATGGGAGCAGATCCCTCCCAATCAGCTAGACCAATAGGCGCGCTTACCTCGGCAGGTGCATATGAAGGTGAAGGAGACTCAGGTGGAAGAAGATGAAAGTAAACAGAGGCCAGGGCTTAGCTCACAGAGCTAGTGAGCTACTGCTGACTGGAGGAGAAAAAAACACAGAGAATTGCCAGAGATTTGATCACACAAGAGAATCCAGATGGTCATGGTTTTTAATACCCTCTGGTAAACATACAAAAAGCTATTGAAAATGGTCATAGAAATAGTGAATTGTCCCATTTTTGAGATGGTGGATCTTTCCATAGTTATGTGGCTGTTTACCAGAGGGTTTTCATGGTCATTTTGATGATTGTACCCAACAAAATCTAGTTGGTGCTTTGGAACATGAATTTTATGACGGTCCATTTCATATGGGATGTCATCCGAAACCCATTGACGAAGTCCATCATTTTTCAGAGGGGTTAGCAGCAACCAAGAACCAGATTTTAACCATCATTAAGCATATAATAACCCATATATTAACCATGATAGTCTATATTAACAGTATATTAACCAATATGATCAGTGTTTTTTAAAGGGGTTAGCAGCAACCAACCACCAACCAGACATGGGATGACCTTCAAGCCGATCCATGATCGATCCGAGGATTTCCTGGGGCAAGCTCCAGATCACACCCTGATTTTTGTTTCGACCTTTGAATTTGTGTTTTTCTTTACGGTTTCTTTCATGATATGCAGGCATTTGAAATTGTAAGTTGCTATAGCTAAATATGAACGTGTGCGACTTCTCAGCTTTTTCATACTGTATACGTTGGATATCGTAAATATGCGGGCTTCCTGAAGTGGGGGTACCCCGAATCATTCAAATTTGGACTGTTAGAGCATTTTAGTATTGAAACCCATGGTTTCGGGGGTAATCGACCATTTCAATAAGACTACCCTTCGAATAAATATGAACTATGTGTACAAACATATTCTTAGTTTTCCGAAGCTCACCACCCGCTTCAAGCTCACCCTGGGCCCTGCAGGCATTGCGTGGTGCTTTGGAAGGAGGTGAAGTGGGATCGATTGGAGGCCTGGTACCTGGTTACCAGATGTTACCAGCTACTAACATGTGGAACATATGGAGGTTTCCAAAAATGGTGGGTCAAAAGCCTGGTACCCTAAAATAGCTGGTGAATGGATGTGAATGGATGGTTCTTTCCCCAAATGCGGTACACTTTTCCGACGGTTTTTTGAATGGTTTTAACTCATCCCCACATGGCGATATCATGGGGGTTTGCTGCAAGCCATGGACCGTATGGATGATGACTACTTTTTGAACATGGTAAACCTGGATGGATGGATGGATAGTTAGATAGATAGATAGATGGATAGATAGATAGATGGATATTATATGAATATATATATATGCTGTATTATATATAATGATTGAAATGCTACGTATACGTAGACCTAGGCCCTCTAAGTATATAATGTCAACCCCGGATTAATAAACCATGGTTTATTAATTAGGGGGTACCCTCCAAATAGTCACAATATGGTACATAAATGGTACCCTCCCAATTAAACAGCCTAGGGGTTTATTAATCCAGGGTTGACATTACCTTGAAACAATGGTGAATATACAAATTGTTTTGTGACGTTTAGACGATTTTATATAAATCATTCTTGCTGGTACTTGAAGGGTCTAAGCAAATGTAAACATGGATGGAAGCTGTGATTCTCACCTAGTAACTGGACCCAGTAGCTCGACAACGGGAAATGCCAATGTTCCACGGAAAGATCATCATCTACGGGAACGTTTTGAGGTTTTGAACGCGAAGAAATGCGCATTGGGGGTAGAAACTACCCTCTGGTAAACTAACAAACATAGCTATTGAAAATGAACATTTCTAGTTGATTTACCCATGAAAAATGGTGATTTTCCAGAGTCATGTTTGTTTACCAGAGGGTATATTGAGAACGCGGACCCTTTTTTCTTTCCATCCGTGTCTGCCGAAAAAAAGGTAACTTGCAAGTGAATTTCTGGATTCTGGTTGAACAGGTTTCATGATTCCCAACAGGTTTCATGATTCCCAACCACGGCCCAGATGGTTCTGAGAATTTTTTGGCCAGTCGTGTTGGTTTCATTCAGGATGCCCCAAAGATTGAACACTTGCTGCATTTTGTTTTTACATCTTGCGGTTTGAAAACAGGAGAGAGAGAGAGAGAGAGAAAGAGAGAGAGAGAGGAAAAGAAACACACGCCTTCTTATTTTCATTTACCAGCCAGTTTGTATAAATTACTTTGGACCTAGCCTAGAGGTTTAATCTTCACCAATCCGGAAAGGTTTGGCGGTCGTTATAACGTCGCCACAGGAAAGTTTACCCTGGAGCAAAGCGGAGCAACATGCTACGTCCAAGGGTGGCCGGCTCCTAAGCCCCTTGGATCTCTGAGAATCCATAGATCGTTGTGGTGAATGAAGGGGGAACTACCCTCTGGTAATTTAACAGTTTGCTATTGAAAATGGCCATTTATAGTGGATTTACCCATTAAAAATGGTGATTTTCCATAGTTATGTTAGTTTACCAGAGGGTATGAAACACAGGGATTTGAGTGACCAAGAGTTGGGAGTCAACAGCAATCGTTGATATGCGACCAAATAGCAACGCCACATACATGACATGGTTACCATCAGGGGAAAATCATCAAGAATTGCGCAGCTCTGCGGCTTTTCCACTGGATTTGGCATGGAACTGGTGTGGGAAGATGTCCCCACTTGACATCTATCTTGGTGAAGGAATCTATTTAACAGAAAGGGGAGGATACTCGGTTGTTGTAATATTAAAAAAACAACTTTGAATTGATTTAAATTGATAAATCTATGTTCACTTGATTCGATGATGTTTGATGTGAAATTCCAAACCTCAGTACTTGGAAAGGACTTGGACAACCCATCTCACATTTGTGTTGATTCCAACCCTCACTTTTCAGCGACAAAGGCAGGCTTTACCCTAGGTTTATATATGTTTTTTTCTGCCCCATACAACGGGAAATATAGACTACCCAGCTAAAGTTTGCTAAAGATGTTGTTTTTGTATATATAATATATAATATATATATATATATATTTCTTCATTTGTTTAAAATGTATTTTTGCAGGATATCTCAGATGAAGCATATCAAATTGCTTGGATGTATCCCATGCTTGTTTATTTGTTGTGCTCCTCATGATCGACCCTCGTTCCCATCCGGTATAATCCAACGCGGCCGGAAAATATAGCATACTTTATACCATTAAGTATCCCATGATTGTTTATTATCACCAATGATGACATCAACTATTATGTCAACTATGATAATCATTGATAATCATTGAGATTCATCATTATTCATCAACATTCATCAACCATAGGTTGATCTACTATTAATTAACCATTAATCAACCAGTGAGTATCCCATTATCAATAATGATCGCCATTAACCACTAACTATTAACTATAACAACTACTATCAATTAACCATGAGCCATTCATCAACCATTCATCAATCATTAATCACAAATATTCAACCATTCATAATTCATCATTTAATCAACCATTACCATTAATCAACCAGTATTAATCTATATGCTATTAATCTACTAGTATATAATTACCATTAATACTATTCTTTACCGTTAATACTATCAATTACCATTAATACTATTCAGTACCATTAATTAACCATATTAATCAACCATTCATCAACCACTTATCACTATTAAAAAACACAGCAGCCATCTTTTTTGACGCGCCAGGCTTTGAAGAAGCCAAGAAGTTCTTACGGAAGCACGGGCCCATCTATCCGGGAGTTCCTTGGTGGCCTTGCGCGCAGCTGGAGGTGATGGGTTTAGGATTTACCCATGGAAAACCTGGTTTTATATGGTTTTATGAGGTTAAAAACCTAGAGGTTGAAAAAGTATGACTTAACTTACTGTTACTTAACTATTAAAAACATCATGGGGGTAAAACAATGCCATGTTTACCATCCCCAGTCATCAGCATTTTTATAGGTGGTATGTTTACCATTCCCAAATGGGTGGTTTATGACATTGTTTACCCACATTATAAGGTATTCTGGGATTTGTTGCATTTGCCATGTTTCATGATGTTTCATTGAGGGGTCATCTGAGAGTTTGCGACGTGGACACCATGTTCAAGAGGTGATGAAGTCGCGTGAACTCGCTATGGGGCGAGTGCCGCAGGATTGTTTTAGTCTTGATAAACTAGGTAGACTAGGAGAACTCACCGAATTTGCCCAGCCCAGCAGCTAGAGTCAGCAAATTATTTGTATATACCCTCTGTTAAACTAAGATAGCTATGGAAAATCACCATTTTTAATGGTTAAATCCACTATAAATCACCATTTTCAATAGTTTTTTGTATGTTTTCCAGAGGGTACATCATGTCAATCTGGCTACACATCCATCCATTATTGGAAGTACCGCATATTTTGTCCTTTCTTCTGCCAGACCATTGTAAGAATTTGGCTGGTTTTGTGGCCTTGTTGTGGGCCCATTTGAAACCATGATTTGTCCGTTTATCCCAAGGTGTCCATATGCTTTTCTGGTGGTTTCAAACAGATTTTATTGTTCACCCTGGGGATGATTATTCAAATTGACAAGCATATCTGGTTGGTGGTTTGGAACATTTGGATTATTTTTCCATCCAGTTGGGAATGTCATCATCCCAACTGACGAACTCCATCATTTTTCAGAGGGGTAGGTCAACCACCAACCGGATATGGTTAAAATTCCCATAATGGTTCACCATAACCACCATTATTAACCATTATTAAGCATTATTAACCATTATTAACCATGATGATTATTCAAATTGACCAGCATATGTTCAGGGATTTTCAGGGTGTGTTCTTGTGGGGATGGATCATGGCATTCCATGGCATTCCATGGCCGTAATCCATGGACAGGAAAATCATTGGGCTGCGGTCGGCAAACAGAAGGACCGGAAACGCGACTTTGTAGCTCGGCTGTGGGTAAAAGAACTGGTGCTTTGCTGTGTATTTACATTCCAGTAAACGTTTACATAACCATGGAACATCACCATTTTTTATTGGTAATTCAACGAACTAAATGGCAATTTTCAATAGCTATGTTGGTTGACCAGAGGGTATTTGTTGTGGTGTTTAATTTTTTGAAGTCTTTAGCATCTACATGTATGTATTTATATATATATGCATGTTTCACAAGAACCCGGCTGGAATGAGTTGGCGTGAAATACCCGTGAAGTTTGCGTGGAATACATTGACATATCATGTTTACCCGCAAAATTTGCGTGAAGTTTGGAGCCTGAATTTGAAACTCCTGGCCACAAGCTTCAATAGGGTCCCACTTCCAGGCCGATTATGTGCACAGATGTAGGGACTCTTACAACCAAATTGGTCAAGAATTTAATTTTGGTGGTAAAACATCATATTTGATAAAATAGTTCATAGTTAAACATCGTTTTTGGATCATCCAAGTCCATATATTTTTTCATTTTGTATTTTTTCCTCACATGTTCCCAACAATCCGTATGGACTCCACGGCTTCTTGGCTTCCGAGGTGCAGATCGGAGATCAGAACCACTCCGCCGGCAAATCCCAGGTCCGCGACTTCAAGCAGCAGCTTGGCGTTTCCATATAGGGATCATAAGGGATCAGTTTGGATTTTTCTATGGGAACGAATTGAGACTTCAATTCGTGAACTGTAGGTGAATGGATGTGTTTCTGATGTGTATGTGTGCATGTATATATATATACGGGATTATGAAGCAAGCAACTACAGGCCTCACCGTAAATGATGCAAAGTAAAGGATGCCACCCCACAACGGATTTTGGACAGATGGGCTGATGATCGCTGCTGTGCGATTTTTTGTCAATTTACCCACTAGTACTGGTATTTGGGGTCTTCCTGAAAAATGGGATGGTTACCCACAAGTAATTCAACATAGCTGACAACGTGTTTAATAGGTATATCAATCATCTATCAACGGGCCATGTTCGTCAACTTGCCAGAGGGTATCCAGAACCAGACTTGCAAAGATCTAGCGTCTGAAGAGAGGAGTTAGTTAGGTGAGATTCTCCACAGTCACCGTGTGCGGCTGCGCTGCTAAGTAGCAAGCTGGCAACTGAAAAATGGAGAAACCTCGCAGACACGCGAGACAGGACAGGGGCCCCCTGTTGGATGCTGATTAGTGAAGGGCCCCCAAACAATTATGGCATACTCTTTAAGGAGTCATGTTTGGAGCGACCAGGTCTGAACTCAGGATGATCAACTGAAAAACTAGACGACGGATGGCCCGAGAGCGTAGAGGAGCAGAGTCTTCTGTTGTTAGTATGGAGACACTATATTAAAGATGTATTATAGGCAGACGAGAAGAGTAGTATCAAGACAATATATGACTAGTACAAGACAATAGTTTGCATCGTATTTTTGTAAAGTTTTTCATAAACAGAACTTTTTACAGACAGACGCTTTTGCACACAGAGACTTTTACACACAGAGACTTCTGCACACAGAGACTTTTACACACAGACGCTTTTACACACAGACGATTTTGCACACAAACACTTTTACACACAAACACTTTTACACACAGAGACTTTTACACACACACACACGCTTTTACACACAGAAGCTTTTACACACAGAAGCTTTTACACACAGACGCTTTTACACACAGACGCTTTTACACACAGACGATTTTGCACACAACGCTTTTGCACACAGAGACTTTTACACACAGAGGCTTTTACACACAGAGGCTTTTACACACAGAGCTTTTACACACACACACGCTTTTACACACAGACGCTTTTACACACAGACGCTTTTACACACAGACGCTTTTACACACAAACACTTTTACACACAAACACTTTTACACACAACGCTTTTTACACACGACGCTTTTAACACACAAACAGACGATTTTGCACACAGACGCTTTTGCACACAGAGACTTTTACACACAGAGGCTTTTACACACAGAGGCTTTTACACACAGAAGCTTTTACACACACACACGCTTTTACACACAGACGCTTTTACACACAGACGCTTTTACACACAGACGCTTTTACACACAAACACTTTTACACACAAACACTTTTACACAGAGAGACCTTTACACACAGACGCTTTTACACACAGAAGCTTTTACACACAGAAGCTTTTACACACAGACGCTTTTGCACACAGACGCTTTTACACACAGACGCTTTTACACACAGACGCTTTTACACACAAACGCTTTTTACACATAGGCTCTTTTACACACAGACGCTTTTACGCACAGACGCTTTTACACACAGAGCCTTTTACACACAGACGCTTTTACACACAGACACTTTTACACACAGACGCTTTTACACACAGACGCTTGGACACACAGACGCTTTTACACACAGAGGCTTTTAACACACAGACGCTTTTACACACAGAGACTTTTACACACACAGACGCTTTTACACACAGAAGCTTTCACACAGACGCTTGTACACACAGACGCTTTTACGCACAGAGACTTTTACACACAGAGGCTTTTACCCGCAGAGACTTTTACACACAGACGCTTTTACACACAGACGCTTTTACACACAGACGCTTTTACACACAGAGACTTTTACACACACAGACGCTTTTACACACAGACGCTTTTACACACAGACGCTTTCTACACACAGGGGCTTTTACACACAGAAGCTTTTACACACAGACGCTTTTACACACAGACGCTTTTACACACAGACGCTTTTACACACAGAGGCTTTTACTCACAAACACGTTTAAACAGGTGCAATTTTACATACAATCACTTGTGCACACCAACATCTTTACACAGAAACGCTGGTACACACAAACCTCTTTGCGTGCGAAAGAGTTACTCCAGCACACGAAACATCGCAATTTTACCTCAGTTTTTGCCGATCGACCCTCATTTCGTGCGAAAGGGTTGCTCCGGCACAGGAAAAATCGCAATTTTACCTCAGTTTTTGCCGATCGACCCTCATTTCGTGCGAAAGGGCTGCTCCGGCACAGGTCAAATCGCAATTTTACCTCAGTTTTTGCCGATCGACCCTCATTTCGTGCGAAAGGGTTGCTCCAGGACAAGTCAAATCGCAATTTTACCTCAGTTTTTGCCGATCGACCCTCATTTCGTGCGAAAGGGTTTGACAGTTTCGTTGACTCGCCGCCGCCGGCACCACCCCTCAAACAAAGTGCCTTAAGAGAGAAGATAAAAAGAAGTGCATGAGAGAGAATGTGAGCAGTTGAAGATAGAAGATGTGAAGATGAGCAGATGTGAAGATGGCAGATGTGAGGGGGGGGGAAGATTAGGCAGTGTGAAGATGAGCAGATGTGAAGAATGAGAAGATGGGAAGGTGTGAATGAGCGATTAAGATGACAGATGTGAAGATGAGCAGTGGTGATGGATGAAAAGATGTGAAGATGAGGCAGATGTGAAAGAAAAACATGACATAACAGATGTGAACTAGCAGTGTGAAGATTAGAAGGTGTGACGATGGGAAAGGTGTGAAGATGGAGGCCAAATGTGAAGAGGAGGCAATGTGAAGATGGCAGATGTGAAATATCAAGATGTGAAGATGGGAAGCTGTGAAGATGAGCAGATGTGAAGATGAGAAGATGTGAAGATGGGAAGGTGTGAAGATGAGCAGATGTGACGATGAGCAGATGTGAAGATGAGCAGATGTGAAGATGAGCAGATGTGAAGATGAGAAGATGTGAAGATGGGAAGGTGTGAAGATGAGCAGATGTGAAGATGAGCAGATGTGAAGATGAGCAGATGTGAAGATGAGCAGATGTGAAGATGAGAAGATGTGAAGATAAGAAGATGTGAAGATGAGCAGAGGTGTGAAGATAAGAAGATGTGAAGATGAGCAGATGTGAAGATGAGCAGATGTGAAGATGAGCAGATGTGAAGATGAGCAGATGTGAAGATGAGAGGATGTGAAGATGGGAAGGTGTGAAGATGAGCAGATGTGAAGATGGGAAGGTGTGAAGATGAGCAGATGTGAAGATGAGCAGATGTGAAGATGAGAAGATGTGAAGATGAGAGGATGTGAAGATGAGAGGATGTGAAGATGAGAGGATGTGAAGATGAGATGTGAAGATGAGAAGATGTTTTACAGACCCCCACTATTGGAAGAACCCTGCGCTCAGACGCTCTCGGGAAAAAATCGATTGATGCCAATCTACTTTCAATTGATTTTCCGTTTAAATCCAAGAAAAAAACGGATTGGTAAGGATTTCAATTCATTTGAACCTATGTTCAATTAATGAAATCTAAGGATTAGTAAGGATGTCAATTCATTTCCATCTACGTTCAACTCATTTTCCCTTAGAACCTAAAAGCAATCTATTGATAAGTAAGGGCTTCATTTGAAATCAATCTACTTTCAATTGATTTTCCCTTAAAACCTTAAATGAATCAAAGGATAAGCAAGGATTTCAATTCATCTCAATTTACTTTCAATTGCTTGTCCTGTTGGGCCAGAAAGAAACCCAAGGACAAGTAAGGACTTCGCAAGTAACAGCTTTACCCAAAGAAAGGTGGACAAAAAGGTTTTGAGAATCTGAGTTATTCATGGGGTACCCCCTGAAACAAATATGTGGGTGTTTTTTTTGAATAAGGGTTTAATACGGCCGGAATTTAATTATTTTGGGGAAATTGACATTTTGAAGATTTAAGATGATTGGGGTGAGCAAGATACAGCAGCTATATTGCTTTAGGAAGGGTGGACAAGAGGTTTTTTATTTAAGGGAAGCAATACCACAAGAAGGGGCTGGACCTACAAGAACGATAGCCTCTCCTTTGCCCCACAGATTTCTAGATTTGCTGAAGAGAACTTCTGAGGTTTCCTTGGTGGGGCGACAGCGACAGCGGCAAGATTCCCTGGATGAATGTGGTGCTTTGGAGCGGGGGGGGTGGAGATAGGTGGAGATCCTCCTCCTTGAATCATCCAATCCAAAGCCTTTTACTTTTGGATACTTGTTTGCCAGAGGTCGTTTCTGGGTCTATATGTGAATATCTTGCGGATTGACTGACCCCCGACCCGGGAAAAAACAAGGTGGTGCCCAATTGGTGACCTAAGCTCATTGAAATATGTAGTGTAACCACGTTTTTTTTTAGGTAGAGATACCCTCTGGTAATTTAAGATAGCTATTGAAAATTGCCATTTATAGTGGATTTACCCATTGAAAATGATGATTTTCCATAGCTATGTTAAATTACCAGAGGGTAAACCATTAGGTGATTGTTTTTTTTAACCGACAACATTTTTCCCCCGGGAGCAACACCTGTCGAAACCTGCAAGTGTGGTGATGTCCCAGAGTGAAACAGTGTCCTGCCCTTTTGAAAACATAGGACCAAACAATGGTTATGTTCAATACAAGGTGAGGCCAAGATAGCTGAGTTGGTTTATAACTCCAATAACTTGGGTTTATGGTATATATATAAATATATGTTTCTTTAAACATTTAAATAGATGAATAATCAAATGCAACAGTACATGCATATATATATATATATGACACATATGTATATATATATATATATATGACACACATATATCATACATATATATATATATATTTAATGTATTATATCGAACTAGATCATGGGGGTTATAAACCAACAAACAAAACTGGGGAGCCTCACCTTGTGACGTGTTGGGTTACCTATACAGGATGGCCCCCCCAGTGATGTTTGTTTATGATAAACCCCATGAACTATAGTTATCTATATATGGTTATATATATCTACCATAAACCACACTTAAAGATAGTTAAACCATATTTATGTCAACTGAACGCTATCTTAGTTCGTTACATCTACCATAGACCATAGTTAGTTAAGCCACTTTGTTCAGGCAACAGTTCACGTGATCGACTGGGGGGGCCGTACTGTAGGCCCATTCCTTTGGGGCACTGCCGTTTGTACCACTGAGCAGGACAGAGATGCGTTGGGGCAAAGCGGACCGGCGTTGGGGCAAAGCCGCTCCCGGCTTAACCTTGGAATCCTCCGAAGACTTTGCCGGGTGCCTTTGGCGAAGATAACTTGGTATTGGATGAGTTGTTTTTCCCATGGTTGGGAGGTCATATGAGGATGGGTCAAAACCGGATAAACCCCTTCTGTTCACATCAAAATAGCTGGGATTTATTGATGTTCATCCCCCTAAAAATGTTATTTATAGGTTTTGATCCATAGCCATATGATGTTTCATTGAATTTAAACCAACACAACATTGAAACATCTACAATGGGGATATAGTGAGGTATGACCAGTGACTTCTGGTTGGTGTCAAATATTGTTGATGTTCAACCATAGAAATGGGATGACCCTCAATGGCTTGACATTTGCTCAGGGAAGGGAAATCACCAATCAGTGATATAACATAAGGCAATATAACCTCTACCCTACCGTAATCAAACGAGGCTGTCTGGAGAATTCCCTATAAATGGAGAGTCTAATGGGAAAATCCTCGAACTAAATGGGGCATGTACCATTGTCACTTTGATTACCGGATGGTATAAGCAACAAATTGATGTTATATCACCTTAAGCCGAAAAATTCGGTATCCCAAATGGGATAACATCATGTTTAGGATGCCTGGGGTCGGGTATGGTGTTGTTTTCTTGGCACTTGATGGTTTTGAAATCCAGCTCTTCGGGGGTGAACTGCCAGACATGGTCACCACGCCAGTTTCATAACACATCTATAGTTGCACCAAAAAGGTGGCCCCTCGGTGGTGCGGCGATTTATAGACGCCAGCTGTAGATACTGTAGATACGTGTAGATACTCTGTAGATATACTCCCATGACGGATCCATGGTGCTGGTATATGTGCTAACATGGATCCCATCAATATATATACCATAATATACCCCAGTCATGTTAGCATTTTTCTACCAGCACCATGGATCCGTCATGGGATTGTAGATGATTATAGCTGCTATAAATCCAAGACTTCACCATACTTCACCCACTTGCAGGGTAACACCCTGAAAGTGCGGTGAGTTTCAGCGGGATCCAGCTGGGAACGTCGAGGAAATGCGTTTGGAGTTGTCACTAGTGATTTCAAGTGTATGTTTACAGGAGGCTAAGTCGGCTAAGTCTATATATTTATATTTATTTATATATATAATGTTATTATATAGATGAGTATAAATATTCCCATTTTTCGATTTAATATGTTTTCATGATCATCATGAAATCACCAGTTTTGCCGAGTTTTGTTGCTGCTCACACCCTCCTTTAAAAACCAACTACAGTATCTGAATGCGTTGATCATGTTCCCCGGGGGTGTTCCCATGGCTTTTCCACATCTTAATTGTTGTGGTAGGCCCAGGATAAATCCGAACAAAAACTTCAGTGGGTTGAATTAATTGTTGCTTTTCAGCAAAGTTGTTTCGGATCTTTGCCGGGCTTTGTTTTGGAGCGTATTTCAGTTAGTAAGTGTTTTCTTTTTTAACTCATATCACATCATATTATCAGATCATGCCATATCGTATCATGCATATGTTTATAGGCATGCATATGATTCTATATATATATATATTAATATATATATATATGTATGTTATATTATATTTATATGTTCTATTATATTTATATGTTCTATTATATATATATATATTATACGCACTATGCATATTGTTTTTCTAATCACACATTGTGTATGGTTTTTTCTCCCCATCAACGATACACAGAGATTCTCCGGGCGAATCTTCCGGGATTCTCCGAGGAAAAAGGACGGAGAGTTGTTGACCTTGGATGAGGCAAGTCGGACCATGACGACATGTGACGACTGGGGATCCCAAAAATGACTTAAGAAACCACCATGTAAAAATTAAGCTTAAGAAAACATGTGTGTTTTTCACGAAAGCTAGCGTCAGCTAGCTGGAGTCTTCTTGCTTTAGCAAGTATTGGGGGGGCTGCTCAAGGACATCACGTGATTTTTCACGCGAAAGGCCCTCCCCCCCCTCCCCCACCACCACCACCATCACCACCATCACCACCATCACCATCATCATCATCATCGTCATCATCATCGTCATCGTCCTCTCCATCGTCCTCGTCATCGTCATCATCATCATCATCATCATCATCATCATGATCATCATCGTCATCCTCGTCATCGTCCTCGTCATCGTCATCGTCCTCGTCATCGTCATCGTCATCGTCATCGTCATCGTCATCATCATCGTCATCATCATCATCATCATCATCATCCTCGTCATCATCATCATCATCATCGTCATCATCATCATCATCATTCATCATTCATCATTCATCATTCATCATTCATCATCCATCATCCATCATCATCATCATCATCATCATCGTTATTCAATTACATTTTATCATTATTGGCAATTATTGTCATTATCACGAAAGCTAGCGTCAGCTCGCTAGAGTCTTCTTGCTTTAGCACGTATTCCGGGGCTCCCCAAGGACATCACGTGATTTTTCCCGCGAAAGGGCCCCCCCCTGCCCCCTCCCCCATATATATCATTGTTATATATCATTGTTATATATCATATATCAATATATCATTGTTGCATCCTCGTTGGGACGAACAATGCCGCGACACGATGATGACAGTCCCTCCGCAACTCACCTCTTCCCTTCCTTCTTTCTCCTACCCCGCTAGCTTTCGTCATCCACCCCCGGCCTCAAGTTTATAGTCGATATACATATATCTGTTCACATATATATATATATATATATGTGTGTGTGACTTGATGTAGGTTTTTCATAGTTGGTATAAATTGATGTAGTTGATGATCATGATAACTAATCAGTTGGGTTGGGTAGATAAACGTCAACTGGGTTTCACCAAAGATAACTGCGGCACCGCCTTGTAGGGTGATATCCACCCTTGGGGCTTTCTTGGGGTCCTCAGTCAATTACCCAACTTGGGGGTGTCTTAAAATGACTTGGGACAGCTCCAAATGACAAGTCATGATGGCGGAAATTATAGGGGGGATCATCCCCAGATTCGAAATGAGCAATTCGCCAAGTTGACCATTTTGGGCATGAAATCACCATGATCAATCCAAATAGTGGTAACTTATCAATGGCCATGACTCAGGAACCAATTTATTGGAGGTACCTACCATATATAAGGCCTATGGAAGGGATATCCCCACAAAATATGGCCTTATATATGGTACAGTACCTCTATTTTAGGATGCTGAAATTGCCATTGAACGTATGGTAACTTGCACTTTAATACGGAATGATTACCCATGTAATGAGTACAAACAAGAACTGGAGGGTCTAGGTTTTCACCCTCCGGTAACGTGGCAATTTAGAATCCCCCAGCCATAGTTTGGTCGCAAAAATATTACCCAGGCTGTTACCCTAAAACACTGAAACAATCTATGTAAAACCTCCATTTAGGTCCATCTATGGTAACATTTATACAAAATACTGTGGATGGAAGAAATCCTGCCCCAGTTGATAGGTGGTTTATCCCATCGTTTATAGGGTTTCAACCATCCAAGGTGATGCAGGATTTCTTCCATCCACAGTAGTATTCCCGTAAGTCGCGCCAGCGCTCATGACGAAAATCAATAAAATCATGCACAGAATAATACCCTCTGGTAATTTAACATAGCTATTGAAAATGACCATAGAAATAGTGGATTTACCCATTAAAAATGGTGATTTTCCATAGATTTTTGTAAGTTTACCAGAGGGTAAAATCATGTACAGAAAATCAACAGTTCGATGATTTTTAAGGTGAAATCGCCCGTAGGATTTGGCGAGGCCCGTACGCTGCTGGAGCATCAAGGGGTCTTGTTTGCGGGTGAAGATCAGTGGGCAGTGGTGAAGACCAACGGCGGCCGCGATTGGGTGCAGGCGAGCCATGAAACACATGAAGCGTGCTGGAAAATGGGAGCGTTCACCATAAAAAAGGATGAACTATG